AGCATACAATCAGAATTCCGATGATAACAATCAGTTTGTCGAAAAATTAGTAGTAACTCCCTCTCATTTATTTTCCAAAAGAATAGCACTCAAATAATATCTTACACCATTTTATTATGCCACACAAGCATTCTCATAGGTGTACCTAAATTGCAATATTTATAATTGGAGCGATTAGTAGTATAAACTTAACACCAAAAGTATTAATTATTGAATAATTATTGAATAATCATTTGAGCCATAATTAATCTTACTCTCAGATTATGGTGCATAATCTTGGCAGAAAACAGTAATAAGGTTCACTTATTCATTTATAATTTTATCTTTCAACAAGAATTGATGAATTACATATTGTTCGTTTTGATTTTCTTATTTGAATCAACAAGATATCCCTAGAGTGTGTTGACTCATGGTGTAATTATATTTAAGATGTTGACCTAATCTTTTGTTGAAAGTCAAATCCAATTAAAAGAACTTCGCTTTAATCTAACTAAATATCTGTGAATTAAATAATAATTATATCATTTATCATATTAGATTTCTTTAACTGTTTTAAATCCTTCCTCTGTTTTATCTTTATCTCTCTACATTTCCATCCATACGCCAACTTTTTTTCCATTGTTGTATTCACCGTTTAAAGTTATTTATTAGCATTTTCGAAATTCATCACAAATTTCAATCCATTAGCCAATTTTCATCCCTTTATCATAACATCCTTCACTTCTGATAGTTTAAATATATAAATAATTTACATTTTTTCATTTTACTCATCTTATTTATACCATGTATTCCATATACCAACTTTTGTGCCATAATAATATTGACCGTTTAATGTTATTAAAGGTTCTCCATAATTATATCCAAAGTAATCAATTGTATCGATCCAATACCCATTTTTAAGTCCGTGACCTGCTTCATCATATAACCCTCCACCACTAAATTAGTAGATAAAATATCATTTGTTATTAATACACCGATTTAAAAGAATTGCAAAAACCCTTCCTATATCTAGTATCCCAAAAGCCAACCTTCTTACCATTGTTATAATCGCCATTATAGGTTAACTAACGCCATTCATAAAATACATCACTAATCTCTATCCAAGTACCAATTTTTTAACCCAGTTCATTATAGGCTCCACCTCCACTTGATTGAAATAAAATATTTTTATTAATTATTTACATCTATTTTCTCCCAATATTCCCTCCTAGACGATCCTAAATTCTTAACCAAATACCCCATCTGCCAATTTTTTTTCCATTTTTATATTCACCATTAAAAATTACTTATGATTCTTCAAAAAATTCATCGCTAACATCAACCCATAACCCGATTTTATCACTTTGACCTCCTTTATCATAATATCCGCCACCGCTATTTACAAATTGTTGAATATCATTAATTACATCTTTAGATTCTATTTATATTTTGATTTCCACCAGCTATCCCATCTTCCAATTTTATTTCCTTATTTATATTCGCCACTATAAGTCACTTATGCACTCTAAAATATATGGCCAATGTCAATCCATTAATCAATTTTTAATCCTTGATTTCCTTCATCATAACTTCCTCCACCTCTAAATATAATATAATTAAATATTTTTACATCATCTTCAGTGAAAGTATATTTCCTAATTTTTTTTATAAAGTCTCCCATTTGCCAACTTTTTTGCCAATTTTATATTCACCATTGTGGATTACATAAGAATCTCATTGAAATCCATCAGCAATATCAATCCATTACCCTGTTTTACATCCTTAACCTGTTTTATCATACACTCCCCCTCCTCTAGAAATACTTTTAGAATTTTACATTAATTAATCTCTCTTTTAAAATTTAAAATAAATATCCCACACCCCAACTTTTTTACCATTTTTATATATGCCAATGTATGTTATTGTCCAATTTCTTTAAATTAAGGCTCTAACTTTTACCCATTTTCCATGCCTTTAATTATCCTCATTATATGTTCCACCACCACTTCAGATGAATAAATATTGATTACATCTCTAAACCATTATATATAACCTTCCATTATCCTACCTTCTTGTTATTTATATATTCTCCAGATTCATAAGTTATAGTTTACCTTTTAGATATCGAAATAAAATACTTTTAATGAAATTTGATGATTTCTTTCCACAGTCCTATTTTTTTTCCTTATTCACAGTAGCAATTAAAAATATTCATTGTCTATAGAAGCCTCCAATATCAACATTTACTCCCATCCAGATTGCTGTCCATCTACCAATCTTTTGATATTGCTCTCCATATTAACCTAACCATTAAAGATTTATAATTTATTGAATATCCATAGGTGCTTTTTATTTTTTTGGAATAAGATCAATTTCGTCTCTATTGGAGTTATTAATATACAAATATACATTTTAAAAATAGCCCCATCTTTGGAATAAATAATCTACTTATCTTATGCAACTTAGATTTTAGTCCGATCGACCTTAAGAAATTAATTACGCCAAATGATTGCTTTAACTTCCTTCCATTCAAATTTTTGTGTTTAAATTAGTTATATTGTGACAAACATAATTATAGAGATTTTAATTATATAATAAATAATCGCAAAATTTAATCAGAAGCAAATAATAGATTTCTATATAAATTGAAAGCTTAGTTCAGACCAAAGTATTTTGATATAAAGAAATAACCTATAACCTATGAGGTAATTTGTGCAAACTTCCATAATGAAATAAAAAAGAAAAAGTAGTTATTATTTCTAAAAGAATTCAAATTTATTATTATATTCTGATGTTGAAATTTTTACCATAGGGCAAAGCTATTACTTATTAAAATTGAATATAAAATATCCCTATATTGGGAGGTTAATTTTTAATATTGTATTGAGATTATTACCAGAATAATTATTTCTTAAATTATCTGAACTCTTAACCATAATTTAAAAAGAAATTCTTGTTAGATAAATGCTCACTTCAGCGAAGAATAAGTTCTGCTTTCTTAATTCATCAGGTCTAAAATAATACTTGATCTGTTGTTAAAAATAATACTTCATATGATCAGATGATAAAAGTGATGCGTATATCTCGTAACGTTTTAGTTGATAAACTGAGTTATGCCACCAAAAAAGGAATAAAAGATAAAACTTCAATAATATTTTAAATACAGTGAAATCTTCGCTTTCAAGAAGCTAAGTAATATTCATATTAACTTTAATTTTTGAATTGAAACTTCAGATTACTATTTATTAGAAGGACTTAATCTTATACTAAAGGGTTGGAATATTTTTAAATAACTATTTATATTCAATTAAGTTCAAATAGAACTAGATTAAAAAAATGCGAATATTTTAAAATTTTGAATAGATTAGTATATTTTTAGTCAAGGAATATGATGAGTAAATAAAATATCAGGAAAATTGAGATAGACATTAATATTAAACTATAAAGATGTCTTTAAGTCACAAATTGGGAGGCTACTGAAGTTGATCGGACATTGTAGAGGGGTTAGCTTTTAGAGGCAGCAGCTATTACAAAGGTTTATCTTTAATGAATGAGTTAACCCTCTGGAACTCACTTATTATGGACCTGGAAACTGTGAGTTCTTAATGAGCATAGTTTTTGTATTGTTTCAAAAATAGCCTATATACTATGGGCTATAATGGGAATTGGTGGTGTCTTAAGTCACTTTCTCATCATTCCTTACCCCTTTATTTTTACCTTTTTCATTTTGCTAAATTCCTTTCATTAATATACCTATCCTTCCTTCTAGGAGCTTTAAATTCACAAATATTTTCTAGGGAATATAAGAAAGTGTCATAATGAAAATAGAAGATTGGCCAGCTGTTGATTGGATACTCAAGTAAAAATTTTGCTGATATATCTAAGAACTTCTCTTCTTTTATTTTTCTCTTGCATCGCAGAATTTACTAGATAAAAAAAATAATAATTTTATCCTAAAAATAAAAAACACTAATCAAAAGTAACTATTTTAGTAACTATCTACATTAATAATTACATAAATAATGACATTATAAAGTATTATCCAAAAAAGTAGCGAAGATCCACTAAAATAAAATTAAAATTTATTAGAAGTTTTTAAATTAAATTATTATATAGTTTAGATAAGATGAATTGTCAATCAGTAAAAGAATTAGGAAATTTATAAGTATTAAACTAATGATCAATGGAAGAATAAAGAGAAAATAATTATTGAGGGAAGTATTCTTAAAATTTTGTTTTAGTTAAATTATATGTTTCATGTTATTAATTTTGTTAATGACT